CAGAAGACCTATACAATTTTTTTCTTTTTGATTTTTTACTGGATTACTGAGATGCATCAGGACATTTATAATCCATTGTTTAACTATTATGTCTTGATTAAAATAGCTTAGATACATGCCCGAAACACCATCACAACACATAAGAAACCATTTATAAAACATTTAGGTGAGCATTGCTATTCAGAGTGTCTGCGATTCAGCTGTAGACCAGTAGTGGGCGTACCAGGCACTGAAGAACTTGTACTTATAGCCGGGACTTCCGGTTTTCATTCAGCGTGGGTTTCCTGTTTGCACTGACAGCATTAAACCTTCGTTCATTTCCAGTCACTGGTGTTGTATGGTCCTCRTTCYCTTCACATTTMAATYTATTCAACATTTATGTGGTTTAGTCTCGACTTCAGTTAATAAACACTAAATTTTCTTACAATATCACTAAATTCTTKCCAGTGCAGCCACAGTTTTTAGGATTTAATAATGATTTCCCTTTTAGCTTCAGTATAAAACTTGTTCAGGTGTTTTGCAGCATCACYGCACCTGACCACAGGTGTTGAGAATATCCCGGGGGTGGAATGTGGTTTTCTGTGAGCCTTTTTGTGTTTGGTTCACTTTAATCAATACAACCCGTCTGACATTTAAACACAAACAGGTTTTACTCTCAGATCCCGYTGATCCAGGACATGATAAAAGATAAAGAGAATTCTGATCATGGTATCCAGATTTTTCTTGTTCTGCTTCGACATAAATCCTTTAAAGTCCCGCTGTGATTATCTGCAGTGCGGCAGTCATTCATCCAGGATCGGCTTGTTTATCAGAGGAACTTTTGGTGTAATTTCTGAAGGGCTTTATGTGGCGTTTTTGTCGTGGACGTCCACTTTAAAAGCAGAAGTCAATATTTCACARACATAAAAACGCTGCTTATTGGAAACATAACTCGTTTGAAAGCCGGGCCCTTAAAACTGATCATAAATCCTCTTGTAAGTTGTAATGGGCTCCACTTTGATTCCAGCGATCATTTTGTAAGAGAAAGTGACATGTTTACAACGGCTAAAATCTCATTTATATGATGAAAGTGAACCCAGCCGCTTCAGCAATAAGTCCTTGTGTAAAACCTCTGATAAACACGGTGTTGGAGATGCTCACAAACACTTAAATCAGTGTTTTTGTCCTCAAATAGAACAAGATGTTTGTCAGAATGAACAATGGTTCAGAGTTCATTGAATTTAAGTTTCATCCTTTCGCTTCGTTTGGTTTTAATCTAAAGAGTTTGTGTTGCAGAAAGTGAAAAAAAAACTAAATTAAATCTGCTAAATGTAGAATAAAGGCTGGTTTGAGTCTTCAAACTCCTTGTATTCTATATTTAATTGGTTTTGTTCATGTCACAACAACTTCTGCCTTGCAAAAGATTAAAATGATTGTGATAAATGATGATTTAGTTTGGAGACCATTTTAACTACGTAGTATAATGACAGTAGTGTAAGGATGCAGGATTGATAAACTTTAATTTCTAAAGAACATTTAACTCTGGAACTGGAAGACATTTTAAATGTCCGAAATAAATATAGAGAGCAACCAAAAAACAAAAAATAAATTAACAAGAAGAGCCTCAGCTTAGCCTGTTAGCCTTTGCGCTGATGCTATATTGCCTTAAATGTATTGGCTCGGTGCTAGCGCGACAAACAAGCTAAACTGAGGTCCTCCATCCATATTTTCAGTTGCAGGCTGAGTCATTTTTGTGTTCCCCTCTCTGTCATGTGGATGGAGGACCTCAGTGACGAGAGGAGAATGTGTAGCGCTGAGCTAATACATATATATGGTGAAAGCGTCGGGGGCTAAAGCTAACACGCTAAGCTGAGGTTCTTCTTCCATGAAGCAGCTCTGTTGTCCTCTATCCATATTTTCAGTTGCAGGCTGAGCCATTTTTGTGTTCCCCTCTCTGTCATGTGGATGGAGGACCTCAGTGACAAGAGGAGAATGTGTAGCGCTGAGGTTCTTCTTCCGTGAAGCAGCTCTGTTGTCCTCTATCCATATTTTCAGTTGCAGGCTGAGTCATTTTTGTGTTCCCCTCTCTGTCATGTGGATGGAGGACCTCAGTGACGAGAGGAGAATGTGTAGCGCTGAGGTTCTTCTTCCGTGAAGCAGCTCTGTTGTCCTCTATCCATATTTTCAGTTCCAGGCTGAGTCATTTCTACCTT